CACGCAAGCCAAACTCACCGGACGATAATTGGGACTACCAATACTTTATTCCAGTCCGACGGTAGTCGGCCAGTCTGGAGAGGTACGCTGAACATTTTGGCTAGTGGTATCGAAACGACATCGGTAAGATTCCTCAGTACCAAGGGGTGAACACCATTTGAACCAGGGGATTGGTATGGAAGAAGTGCAGTTAGTAGCTTAGCGACCTCAACGGCTTCAAGGTGGAGGCACTTTCGGCAGTACGTTAGGAGATTGTGAACATAACACCCTGTGAGGGGCGATGGGTTCATCAAACTTTTGTAAACCCCTGATCGGTGATTTTGAAACGATAAAATGATCAGTTTATCACGCTAGTAATGAGTTTTGCCCAGCCATCTCGGTTTAGTTTGTCTGCTCGGTTTAAAGGGAAATCAACTCTGGCTGATCGTTCAGTGATACAAATGCATTTCACCAATATGCTGACTGTTGAATTGGATTATCACAAATAACAGGGTAAAAGTTATTTTTGGTGTTGTTCATTATAATCTGCTGCTATTTCTTCGAATGTTTGGAAAACCTTATTTGGTTATTCGATTGGATCTGCCTTGATCGAAACAAACTGTGAAGCACACAGGTACAGCTATTTCGGTGGGGATCGAATTCATGTTTACCGTACAAGTCACTCAAATTACTAAGATGATAATCACATTCTGTGTACTTTCTGCAATCACTGTAATAAGATCAGTGTTCTTAGGTTTGTTGCTGGCCACTTATTCTGTTTATTTGGTTTATTCTGTCCCAATGGCAACAGAGATACCGGATAAAAATGGTTAGTGTGAAACCTGGACTTTTGTTTCCGTTTTATGCTTGTGATTGTCAGCAACAAGACAAGTGAGTTCTGCTCTATAAGGACAGATAGGTGTTTTGAACTACTGAGCTTTATATAATTGAAAATATTGACAAATTATCCTGCGTAAAGAGTATCTTGCCCCTTAGGGCTCAGTTCAAATGAATCAATTGACTATGGTGCGGATTGACCAATCAGCAATGGGTTNCCCCCCCCCCCCCCCGGGACGCTTGAGTAAACTTGCCCTGAACCGACTCATTCAGCAGATAACTGACGTAACCAAAAGTGTCTGAGTTCAAATTTTGATCATATCCTAATCAAATGCTCAGTTCGAACAAATTAACCACAACCGTGACTTGTGGGAAGGAATGTTTCAATATTGACATAGCACGAGTCGAACCGTTGTGTAGGGTGGAATGTAGCCCTAATGGGAGTGCCACACAATGCCATGTATTAGACGAATGCAGTCGAAGGATTAAACAACGTGAGTAAGCCACCCCCTCAGGACATTTCAGGGAAAGTTAAGCGTATGTGGTGATACGTTCGGCCTCTTCTGGTTCCGAGTCAGACCAGAGAAATACGAGCGCTCGTTGTACCAAATGTCTCACATTCAACGACTGAATGAACTCCTGAGAACGTATGGTGAAATACGATAAAAGAACGTGACTAGAAGAATAGGATTCAAATATGGTGAATACCATTCCTTTTATCGTGGGCTGAGACACACATTTCGTGGTCCGATAAATGGAAGAGCAATCATTTAGTAATGGGAAGAAATTCAGCTTAGGCTAATATTGACTTAATTAAGGAAAGCAAAAGCAATATTTCATTTGACATGGCCAATGGTCCAAGTTTCCTTACGATAGTGGGCACATTTTTACTCACGCCTAGAGCAGCCTCGCTCTTTCGTTATAGCATTCAGTATTCCAGTATGTACTTTCGTACAATGAAATGCCATCTAACGCTGTTTTTGGTGTTGAATTGTCAGTCGTATTCCAGTAAGATTATGCCGCAGTTCTTAGCACGCATCTGGACATGTGCTGGGTTTTGTTCTACGGCCTTAGAGTGATAGTGCGGTTTGTATGCAGTCTAGATCTTAATCCGAGGGAGGATATTCGGTGCATTCCGTCCCAGAGTTTGCATGGAGGTTCAAGAATAAATGTACCGAAGCATAATTTAAAGATCGCTCAAACGGGTACGGCTGTTTTTTCGACTGAATCATTCCCAGGATCATTGTCGTGTTACCCTCAGAATTTGAGAACCTGCGAAAAGTTTGTTGTGAAGTATATATTTATTCCGCGGTATCAAATATATTGCTCAAACTCTTCAAAAACACTACTATTAAGGGGTCAAACACACTGCTACCAAGGTTGGTTGTGTTAGTTGGATTTAATGTTTGGCTCATTGTTACTCGTGAGTAGTGGTATGGGATAATTGTTTTTTATTAATTCGAGCTGATTATCCTTCGGGCTTCACTTTCACGCACAATCCTCAGTTCGTCGATCCAAGCATACACTCGGGAGCACTAGACTCGAGATTCGCTCTTATTGGAGCTCATCAGTAGTGCATATCCACCCGCCCGTCCGGGATTTGAACTCCGAACCCATCGCATGGAAGGCGTGTGCGTTACCACTGCGCCAACCAGCTCACACCATGGCAGAACAAATTGCCAATTCATGTTTGTTCAGGTGTTACCTTCAGTGGTAGTTCATTTTGGCCCGACAGCAACTAAGGGAAACACAGATGACATACTGTTAGCTCCAATCAAAAGCCCCCCACCGAGTCAGTCAAGAAATACAACACCTTGCTAATGGTAATCAACATAGATTCTAGACTGAGAAGAATAGAACAATTTGAAACGAAAACTGCAAACACCCGTGCAACATACTTTTAGGGGTACAATGTAACAACTTCAACTTGTCATCATGTGTGAGCTACTTGTAATATACCTGTTTGGTTTTCTGTACTTCGAATTCCCCCGTAGGACATGGTCGATAATCGGACTGTCTACAAAACTGTGACTTAAGTGCATCTCCCCTGGTCGAACCTTCCCCAAACCATCCATTCTCATCTTTCGCCCATTTCAGTCGAAGTACAACAGGATTTGGAACGCATCTTCCATTTGGGCAGCAAAATGCAACTGCTTCTGTTGGACTGTGACACGGTCAATCATCCAAGTCAAGTTTCTAAAACATGCCTGGCCCCGATCGTGATTTATATCAAGATAAGCAGTATTCGAGTGCTAAACCGCCTGATCAAGAACCGTGGAAAAGCCCAGAAGAAGTATGCCGGTGTGCAAACAGCCGCGGCGGAAAAACTGCTACAATGCCCCAATGTGAGTTTTACTTTTGAGCAGATTTAGTGCCTGTTGTTGTTTTGAATCCCCCTGTTCCTATTTACATTGAATCCATCTGCTTTTGTGCTGTCTTAGTTAGAGTTTTCAAATCCATTGAGCGCGGGAGGGTCGGGAGAACGGTTCAATGCGATATTGAACTGAGTAATTGCCAGGGTATATTTATTTTCTCCAACGCAGCACTATACACCTATATAAATATAGAGAAAAACCGGCAATTCCATCGGTATTATTAATAAACATGGAACACATATCGTAGATTACGTATATTATATATTATTATTATTTATTATATATATTATATATTATTATTATATATTTTGGGGCCAATGGGCAGAAAGCATGCAAATACAGCTCCTGTTAGCCAGGCATTTTAGTTAGAGTTTCAGTGATTCAAAAACCTGAGTGCATGGGAACAAAGTTTCGATCAACAAGTTAGTCCCAGATATCGTTATTCGATCAGATAATATGGAAACTGTCATTCTGTGGTGCACTTGTGTCAATTTTGAGAAACCTCTTCCTTCTGGGGAACCTGTGAGTAATACCTCTCGACAAAACACAAAATTGGCTTATTAGTTGTCATCCAATGGTATACTTAGCTCCATACCAAATTCACTGCTTTAACGTCTCAGTTAGATGTCCAGTAAAAGTCATTGAATGATCGATTTGACAACTGATGCGGTTATTTATTTATTGCCTAATTCATTTTGTTCAACCATGACTCTGAATGGCCCTTGAAACCAAACCATTCATGTATTGATTTCTTTGTTCAAATTTGACCCATATAGGAAGCCTTTGAATTCATCGTAGATCAAAATACCCTGGGGGCAGCTACCGATGCCCTTTGCCATTTCTTGGAAGGTTATTGGAATGCTACTCATCCACCGTGTACATTGTCTAAAGCGGAGCGTTTATTGGGTGTAGAATCAAATGAACCTGATTCAGACAGACCTCTGGTTCCCATGACTCCTGGACATCCGGGTCTGAGTGTCGTAACAAAGGTAAGTTACTTATGATCCATGTTTAGGTTTCTTTTTTAAATCCTTCGAAAACAGTGGAGATTGGTAACTTCTTGTATGATGCGGATTTGATGAATGCCGTTTTAGTGAAACAATAAATGTCTTATAATTTGTATCAATTGTAGCTACTCATGAGTAGTAAAATTCAAATGATGAAAAATAGTCACAAGCACATTCACATCAAAAGCATTTCGTATAAGACCTACGTTTATATAAAATACACCAGGATGGATGTATATATTACAAAACTTATTCACAATTGAGTAGTAACCATAAGGTGATCGCGTGAAAATGTAAATTAAAGCGGAACAAACTTTTAGCGGGGTAAATTTCACCTCAGTAATATTTACTTTTTGGTGCAGGAAGACGCTAGGTTAAATGCACCCTTGGAATCCATCTCAATCCATGTTCTTCATTTTTGTTAGCCCAAGGTGTTCAATGTCTGTGACACATTACATCGGGGATATGGACAAAGACTAAGCCATTATGTCACTTTTTTAATTCCACCATAGAACACCTTGGTTTGACGTTGATGGGTTTTCTTCCATTGTTGCCTGCCGCACAAATAGGGCTCCTGTGAAAAGTCACCCCTTAACAGTGATCAGAAATTGACCAAACCTGTTCCCACCGTAATTTTATTGAGATGGATGTGAAAATCTCGTCATCGTTGGCGCAATCAGCTGCTGAAAATCCGTAGCTCTCAATGTATGCGAGCGTGGTTGCTAAGACAGCGGTTGTCATCTGTAGACGGACGGCAACATATCGCAACTGCCCAAACCCTAAGGTACCTTAGACACTGCGACAATATGAACCGGATCTGCCCGACAAAACTTGGCTGGGAGCGCAAATATTTCACACTGGAGAACAGTAAACCTGTTTTCGCGTTTTTCAGAGGCGACTTTTCAGCCGTAATACATCTTTCGAGATAAATCTAAGGTAGACAGACAATCTGGGCGTAATCTCCTGACAGCACTCTGGTGATTGAAAAAAACTGCATTGTATCGCTTCTATCACTTGATAGTCTAATAAGATTTCTACCGTTTTATTATTTTCGAATATTAAGGTTCCATTATTCGCTTGGTCCCGTTAATGATATTCTTTTCATATAGAACTGACCTCTCGTTCTGAGATCAAAAACATTAGTGTATCAAGCTTGGATTAGCCCATTTGATTATTCATAGGCACCAGGCACTCTTGATGTTCTTGGGTGTGGGTTTCACTCCTTGGGTAGGGGTTTGAAGTCCCAGCCCGAAGAACTGCGGTTCGAGTCCTGATTGGGACACAAAACGTACGCACTGCTGACGTGTCCCAAGCAGGACGAAACAGCTGTCCAGTGCTCTTTGTTGGTTATCACAAACATTTCCATCGCATCAGAAATCTTACTTTAAAGATATTATCAGCGCCGAACTTGAAAAGAAATGGAGCAACTAAACACCTTAGTAGATCCAGCCGTAGAAAGAATGAAGAGGCGAAATCTGATCACAAGCTGTTACTTGACCTGAGGTGTTATTAAATTTCTTGAAAGTATGAAAGAAGTCGACATGAGGTGATCGCGTGAAAATGTGAGATACATGAAATGAGTTTCTCAAGCGAAGTATTAATTGGAAGGCGGCATTATGTCGAACGTGTCCTGCCGCACAGCTTCCATTGATACCGTATACCCAAGGACTCAGTTTGGACAATCGAAAACACAGCCAACTGCACAATTCTGCTTCATATATCGTCTACCCGTTCACCTGTAGCTGCGGCAAAATGAATCGGCCCCTATCTGAACGAATGTCTGAACCCCCCCCCCCAAGTGGTTGGTGTAATCAATGACGCAACACAGTCTTAGAAGCCAGTCTGATAAGATAAATCTAGGGCTTCACTGGATAGCTGTTTCGAGTAGGTAGCATGCTTGCGTTCTGCCCATGGGGTCCCGGGTTCACTCCCCAGTTGGGTCGATGGATTCATACTGCTGATAAAACTCAACCAGGTCAAAACAGCTGTCCAGTGCTTCTTAGCTTTTCAGTTCACGCTTCATTTATCTTATACACGACGAATTTCCTCTTGTAAATTGGATCAGGTCCTCCATTTCTCACATGAAATCTAGGCTCATCAATCGCAAAACATGTCATGACAACTGAACACATTGTTGACACACATTTTTCGTTCAAGCCGTTATTACATAACACGAATCCCAGGATCTCGGCGCTTAGCAAGGCGATGCTAATCAAGTTACACAATCCGATTTTGCACGCTCAAACGTGTCTAACACGATCAATCAGACTGCCTCAACTGTGTAGAAATGCACCGTCCACCGTTTGTTGTGCTATCTTACACAGTTTTGCCGGTTCAGATATGTAAATTACCCGTAGCTGACTTTGTCTAGTCAACTGTGTTTCCGAACATGGTGAATCATCTGCTGATGGTTCATGTGTACATTACTAGGACGATCACTCAATGAGCGAGGGGTTGGCAAAAGTCGGTGTTTCGGCTGGAGTTGGAAAATAGTAAAATATAGCCGTCTGTCACGACAGGGATTGATCCATTTGAGGAATGGAGTGAGCATCTTCCGGGCGAGTTTATGATCCGTTGATATGAACAAAGCCAAACCAAAGCAGATTGTTCTTTAGAGATTCGCCAACAGCGCCGCTTGGTTAGCCAAAGTCTGGCTTGCAAACTAGTATGTAAGGTGCTGTATATTTCGTCGGTGATAGACTGTCAGTCACTCCTAATTCTCCGAGTATATTCGGTGCGTACAGAGTGGTAGGTGCAACCCAGCGTCTAAAAGAGCTGGCAGTCCTCCCATCCAGCATCTTTTAGGAGTTGCATATGAGCTTTTGCCTGAAAGTTTACATTGAATCGGGGCTTTCTGGCTGCCCTCATTTGAGCTACTCTTCCTTGGCATACAAAAATATGGTTACAAGCGCAAACTTTGGTTTCTAACACTTTCGCTTTCATGGACATTGGTCTTTTTTTTAAAGAGAGCCGCGGAAAGAATTTCTTTTATAGATCAATATTCGGAGTACCCTGAGATTGCTTCTCCGGTTGATGATCATAAGGACAAATGACTGGTCTGTAATGTACTGGATATCCATAATTTCATGGTCGATCGTTTTGAATGGTGAGGTCTGACCGTGTACAGAACATTTTGAGTGATGTATTTCTTACAAAGAGAATTGAAGAGTATTGCCATCAATCACCATGAAAGCCAATATTCATGTCATAATTGCTTAATACCAAGTCACTCGTTGTTTTTTTCTTAAATTAAACAATTCGCCTACTTGGTTTGATCTTTATCACAGTCGGCTTTAGACGCGGGTTTTACCAGTCAGGAAATCATTGCCTTAACTGGTGCGCGAGCGGCTGGATGGCGTACCGAGAACGGTACACAAGGAGATCATGAGCATGGTACGACCGGAATGCATTACGGTGGCAGTGTCGGTAGCGAGTATAACGCGGTTCACGTTTCCGGTCGAGGCCACATGCAGGACACAGATGGAGAGCACTACGGCTACGATCAGACAGACTCCGGTCCGGCAGAAGGAGATGAAGAAGACGGAGCTTTGCATCTGGACTCTGGCGGTGACGGCGGCAGCGGACATCACGGAATCTCGCTGTCACGCAAACCGCGCCTGCACATGGGTGCGGCTCAAGCTGCCGCAATGGCTGCACTCGCGGNGGTCTAACTCCCAAGCCGCGTATGGTACATCCGGCCCTAGTTCCATCCGAGAAGTTTTCCTTTCACTCCCACGGGGATGATGGTGGACATCGGACGCAGCCGGGCTTGGCAATGGGTATTGGAATGGGCTTGGCCAGTGGTGTGGCGGCCACAATCAATGCAGCGTTGTTTCAAAGCAGTGGCGGTGGTTCCCATAATAACGGTCCGATTGCAAAAGCCCCGGGTCATTCGCCCACTGTGACTGCGGCCGTAGCGGCCAGTATGCGACCGAGGCCACTGAAGGATCTGGGTATTCACCAGGTCGAGAGTTCAGACGGGACTCACGGTATGTCCATTTATGTTGGAATTTTCTATTATTTATTTGGATGGCCATGAAAAACTCTGACTGATTTTGTATGTTTTTGGAAACGTAATTACTGTACTGACACAGGTGGCCGAATGCAGTACAGTGAATAATATGGGCAGCTGCGTCTGTTGTGGACAGGTTGGATTTATAAAGAAACTGTAAAGGATTATGGACTTAACAGAGGGGTCTCGTGCGGTGCAGAAAACTATATTCAAAACACCGCAGCAACACTGATGTGCAGGCAATGGGACAGTACTTTGATGATCCTTTCTTTGGAATTGGTCTGATCCGAGCTGATCTCCAACAATCGGGGATTGTTCCGGATGACAAACACATAGTGAACAATTCGGGAATACGTATTGAAAGCTGATCGGTTCATGCCAATCTAGCGGGACCATGAGCTTTGTTGATCTTGAGTCTCCTCAGGACTTAGAGAACCTCGTCCAGAGAAACAGGGTTTATTGCATCATGGGTTGGAAAAGGAGGTGAGAGTGAGCTTGAGACAGGCGCGGAAGTGAATTGATAGTTAAGTACCTGAACGTTGGGACAAGAGCTGATTTGTGAGCCACAGAGTTTCCGTAGGGTAGTCCACATCTCACAGCAGACTTTAGTATCCAAAACAGTCACAACGTACATTCCGTTTAGGCGTCTTACTTCAGCTCTAATCATCACTGACCGGTGTTTTACACTGTTACACTTGCCGGTCATGTAAGCCGTCTCTTCATCACAACGGTGTCACTCAAGGAGGGACGAGGAAAACCTATCAGTTCGACAGGGCAACATTGATCAAAGCAGAAGTTAAGATAATCAGCATGATATTCACAAAACAAAGAGAGCTGGTTATTGGAGAACACAGAAAATTCGGTAGAAGAAACTAAGTCCCGGAGCCTGGGAAGGTTCTCAAGGGAACAATTTCTTTTCCGTATAGTATGACAGGCGGGTGGGTGTGAAGGTATTGGTTAGTCTTACAGTATATCTTGGGGTAAAGAAGAATGTTACAGGGGTCAGAAGTGCCAATCGGTGCTCGAACATGAAACAAATTAGGTCTATTTCCGTGTATGTTTTCGAGATAAGCATTAATTAGAGTGGGGAAATCTACTAGGTTTACTAAACCTGGAGTAGCTGAAAGGGAAGTGTTAAAGCGTTGAAAGTCTCTAGTGATAACGTATAAAGACTGATAAACATAACTAGCGAATTGTATTACTACAAAAGTATCAGCAAACAGTGTTACTTCAGGGGCGAGTATATCAAACACAACGTAGCTTCAAAAGTAAGTGATGTGAAATCTGCTTAGAAAGCGGGTCTTGCGGTAAACGAAAGTACACTTAATTTTGCCGATTGAGAAGTTAAACGTTAACTGAGTGTTGTTGTTACACCAACTTCAGTTAAGGGGTCCAATCCGCCACCTCTATTGCGGAATTTCTCAACCCTGTTGCTCCTGAAAATATTGAAATCGTCCACTTCAACGACATCATCCGCAATGTCTGGGTGTAACCAACTTTTCCGGAGAAAAATGAATCCCATACTTTGGCACTGTTTCTAATGCACCAACTTGTGGACATCATCGATTTCTCCCATGAACGAGTGAGTATTGCCTGAAAAAATAGACAGAATCGTCATTCTGTTGATGGTACTTTGCCTTAGGGCAATCCACCAACCAGTGCGAGGCTTATTATGGTGACGTTGACTCCTGTTTCTTAGCCATTTGTAAAGATTTCCCGCGGAATGAGGAAAGGCAGAAATTTGGACGACACGCAGAAACTCAGAAATTTCATAATGGAGGAGCTGAAAGACAGTGTTTGACCTTGAAAAATCGATGAATTGATATAAACGTGCACGATTGAGAGTATCCACCGCATAATAGAATATATTTGTCCAATTTGGCCGAAGTACGACCGAAATTCAACGGCCGCACCAGGTGGGGGCTTCCGTGTGAAAATGGATGCATTTAAACTAACTCCACAAAATGCTACTCAAAATATGATGCTCCGGATTGAGTTACAGAACAACAATAATTGACGTAGTAGAACATTCATCACAGGCTTAGTCCAAACAGTTCTTTTTCTTTCTTGTTACGTCATTGAGGTCCATATTGGTTGTGCACATCTGTCGGTGACCAACAATAAACCAATGCTGTGCGTCCAAAAACTCTTTATAACATCTCTGAATCGGCATCTGCTTTAATCAACCGCCATAAGAGTTCTCTTTTTGAACTAATTTCATCGGTATTGCTTGTCATTTTTTTCTGTTCAGTTTTCCCCCTGAATGTAAGATGGTTACAACGGATCGCAATCAATTAGCTCTCACACATAAATCTTCTGTCATGTCTGCATCAATTTATCATGGGGATATTGGTGTTTCAAATTCATAAATTGCGTTTTTTGTTTAAAAATGTGATCACTGATTGAGCGGTTTAGTGATCGATACCCGATGCACAAAATGTGCCTTCATTGCTCTCGTCAGGTGATCTGTCTGCGCCTAAAGGTACCCGTGGTAATCTAGATGCGGAACATATTTTGATCGGAAATGTTTCCCTAACGACAGGAATATGTTTCGCCCCCGTCCCCCAAGTCAGCGAAAGTAGTACAGCTACCACCGAACAATTTCTGATGCATGTCGGATAGGATCCAATGTCCGTTTGTAGACAACCCTAATCTTCATCAGGAAGTACGAAAAATCAGTTTGACTGAGGACCGCTAAGAAAGATTGGTTAACATTTCCGCACAACTGCGTGAGGTTTCCAGGATGTTTCTCATCGCTTGTGAGATCGTTGTGAGATGTGCACGCCCCAACCAAAACAGCTATTCCTTGTTCTGTGTTGGTCAATTCGCATTTTCCGACAAAAATTAGATCATAATTTTTTTGCTTTCACTGACTGTGTGGGAATTTCTCAGATTGTTTTCTGCTTTCTGATAAGATCACCAAGTCCGATTAGCTTTTCATTTCTAACTTACTTGCACGATTGTTCCGTGCGAAATTTAATACATTTTCACGTCCATCGCACAGTTTATCAAAGTCGATCTGCACGACAAGCAAGACAACGTGAAGAAGAGCTGGAACGTGTTCGTCGTGAAGCCGAAGCCAAAGTGCTGGCATTACAAGCCACTGTAGGTGGCCGACGACGTCGACGAGGTCGTGAACGGGACCGCAGACCACGTGAACTCGGTAACGGGGATATGGCAGGGGACTGGCATAATGGTCAGGCGGAATACGGTTCTTCACTGGAACGTGAACGGGTACACGGCACACGACATGGTTCTCCACCACCGGTAGGACCGGTAACTCACCGCTACGCAATGCCAGACGATTATGGAGATACGGGTGATCGGTACGGATCTGGCGGTCACGAGGACGGTTATGCAAAGAGTAGGCAACCGGTCACTAATATGGTTCGTGCCTGTCCACCAGATGATTAAATTTGACACTTTCTCTCCCAACAACATCATGTACCGTTCTGACCAACAGAAGGAGTCATACTTGTCCATAAAATGCCTCACCTATAATATTACTATTAATATTATCAGAGAGTTTGAATTTGTTCTTTGGCGTTTTGTTTCCGTTTTCTCTCTCTCTCTCTCTCTCTGTCTGTCTGTCTTTCGGTGCCTGTCTAATCTCTGTTTCATTTGCTTCCCCCCTCCCCATCCCCCGATTCAGTTCCCATTATCTGTTTTGGACAATGCCGGATTTGAGACAGAGAGAGAGAGAGAGAGGGGGGGGGGGGTTGATTTTGCTCAGTTTACATCTATTATTTTCGTGACCCCGGGAAAACGTGCCCCCAAATTGAATAATAAAATTGCATCATCTTGGAAACGAGGTTGTCTCTTTCCCTTTTCTCCACTACGGCTTATCCTGTTTTGCAACGTGATAAAACCGTATTCGAGCATCGATTCCATTGTCTCCACGATGTTTATTTTGCTTGATATGGGGCAGATGATTGAGGAAAATGTGAGGCTGTTGTTTTAGACCGACTGGTTTGCAGCTAATATACGATACCAACCAAGACAAAGCATCGACCGCTCCATTTCTTTAAATTGATATAAATAATGCATGATCATGTAGTTATGCAGTCAGCTCAACCGAAAACGTCAAATCCATGATGATGAAAAATCCCCCATCTACTCCGCGGACGGGGGCGGGGGCGGGAGGCTACAAAATAAGTCGAATGAGGTACGACATAAGCAGGCGTTTGTGAGTCTGGATGAAGCTACTCTCAGGGGGTATACGGGATAGGCCACGGTGAAGAGGATATGTTCCACTTTTATTCGTCACCTCCCGCATGCTTTGGCTTGGATGGAAGCAAATGTATGAATAGATTAAGGGAGTGCAGGATAAAACCTTCTGAATACGGATTTCACGATTCCGAAGACTAGTTCACAGTCTTCAGGTATACTGTTGAAGCTAAGCATCAAGTATCTACGAACAAACAGTTTGGCTATGTTTATCAGTACGGGTAGGGGTGTTGAAACCAAGATTATGAGAACGGAAGTCTACTTGTTCCTGTGAAGTTTACCAAAACATGAGTAATGAGCTCACTGATTTTCGCGTGCATACGCCTGAATATATCAATCTTGGATAATTCACAACCGGAGCCCATGACTAGCGAAAGCCTAACTCTCGAAAAGCGGGGTAGTGTGTGAAAACCGGACTCCGTTGGGGACTGATGTTCGGCTCATCATACCATACACCATTCGGATGGAGTCGACAGCTCGATACCCAATCGAGCTAGGAAGATGTGTGTGTGTGTGTATGTGCGTGATTCTTACGTCTTTTGTAGGTTGTTCGGGAATCTGGGTTTTTAGCCAACTTCCCGAGGTGAACTTCCGGTGGCACACGGACCCAAATGTTGACTTTTCGTCCTCTCACTTCGGTTTGAAAACATTTCTTCCATGGGAAGATATCAGTTCTAAACTGTCAGTTTCAGTTTTCATGAATAATGTACAAATAACTTTGTCAGTTGTCATAAAAACTTAGTTCTCTGATTTGGACATCTTCACCAGTAGTTTGTACCCTATTTCTGCTATGCACAGACAATTCTGTGCTATAGAAGAATTCTTTTAACTCTTGAACCTCGTATTAGAGCGATTCAGGCATTTAATCAATCTTCAATCAGGCATCCTTCAACATTAGGGCCACAGATAGTTCAAAATACGAATTTTATCCAATACACTACGGATGTCTATGATCGGTGAATCATTTAATTTTCTCAAACGAGAACACATCAGGTAAGGAAATCGCAACAATCAATATTGGTTTTAGAGTAGCAAGCTTGGATTAGCCCATTTGTTCGTTAAGAGGCGCCAGACACTCTTGATGTTCTTGGGTGTGGGTTTCACTCCTTAGAAGATCGAATGGACTAATCCAAACTTGCTACTCTAAAATTGATTGAGACATTCGCAGANTAAGAGTTTGAAGTCCCAACACGGACGTTCTCGGTTCGAGTCCTTACAGGGGCGTAAAAGGTACGCACAGGGTGGAACAGCTGTTCAGTATTGTATGTCGGTTATCACAAACAATCAATATTGGTATTTTGTTTATTTGATAGAAACTACACATGAACAAAACGTAATTGTTTTCCGTAAAATTTCTCGGTTGTTTTGTTTCATCACAAGTTAATTGTTAGTTGTGGACCATAATTTGATCTCTTTTAGACAAGGCTACCAGTATACAAAACCTCGGGCTTACAAGTATTCAGTCGGTATTTTTATACTCCTTAAAAGAATGGTCTTCGCCACCACACGTGTTGCCGTATTGCCAACTTTTGAAATATCCGACTCGTACCAGCGGTACGGACACCAGATTTGGGAGACAATCGGTTTTTATCAAACCAAAGATTCCGATTACCTTACCGGTAATGAACTAGTTCACCCTTTTGCCTTCCGATTTGTTTGAGGGGATAAACCGTCTAATTATCCATATTCGTGTCACTTGTCACGGATGCTCGTAACCTTCCGTGCTTAACAAATCGATATTTGAAACTACACCTCCCTCTTTCGATACGCATTGCAGACTATGTGGCAACCAAAATGATTTCACAACCTACACCGTTTGCATTGCAGGTCAGATCAGTTCCCTCAAATGTCTCGGGTGACGCGCCAAACGGACCAGGTAAATGTACGGATTGATTGGGTCCGTTGACTCTCCGATGCCGTAACAATAGACAGAGAGACCTCTTTGTTGATGGAGCGGAATCATTAGACGACCAAGAGAGCGCCCATGTGGTGGTACAGCTCTAATCCGAAGGGGGATTCAGTTCTGTTACTTACTGCAGACCCATATGTAAAGGTCACTCACCCCAAAGATTAAAAGAAGAGAAGATGAAAGCTAAGAACCAAGATTAAATAGGCTTCACCAAAGAGAAGTTCACATAGTTCTCTTTAACAAACTTCACATCTTAATCTAATCACCTGATATTTTATACCGGTCACGCAAATACTTAATTAAAGTCGAATGAAAAATTCTCGCATAACAAGAGAAACACATTGCATTACATTATCGAAGACCATCAGGGACATTACATCACTTCTTTAACAGCGAGATAGAAACTTCATTCCTCAAGTCCAATCAATTTGATAGTCCAAATGCCCACTTCCCAAGAACGATCTCTTCAAAATGGTAATATCATGCATTCGTGTGTGCCATGTCTGAGTGGTCAAAACCAATAGCCTAATCTTTTCTGTGTGATGAATTGACATTACTTCGAGTCAGCGTCGGAAGAGGTCGTTTAAACAATGAAATGAGTCGATCGATATCTGTCTGTCATAAGGGTTTGTGATTGTATATAAATAGCATATTCCAGTGGGACTTTCGGTTCAGTCAATCGTTTATTGATTAAGAGAACATCCGGACAACGTCTTCGAGCAGTAGATCTTGCAATCAGTATAATCAATGAGCTGTTCGTTTGACCCTCAGTGTATCTGATAAACGAAACTCTCACGAAAAGGGGATTCGGTAATAATTCACACATTTTTGGTCCATTTATCCAATTAGTTATCTCATCGAGAGGAAGAATAATGT